TTTTGGAGAAAGGGTCTCACTGTGTAGTACAGGCTAGTCCTGAAGTCATTACATAGCCCAGGCCGGCCTTGAGCTTGCATTGATCCTCCTGCCTCAGCCTCCCAGAGTGCTGGGATTACAGGTGTGCACTACCGCTACTCCAGGCTAAAGAGTGCCTCTGTCCCCCTGCTAAGGCCAGTCTTTCCCAAAGGGTCTTGCTAGCTTTCCATACATAGCTAACTCTCACTCTTTGGTCCTACCCTTGTGGTTGGCATGGCTGGAGGTGAGCCCCTGGCTGGTCCTGGTGCCCACCTTTTCCCTTCAAATGCTCCCCCAGCACCCAGCATGCTCCTGTCCGATGGTCACTGCCACACTAATGCACCCTTAGGCATCTGATCCCCTCCTCTGACTAATGGCTGGCTGAAGGCAAGACCTGGTCTCTATGGCCCCAGGACTCTCAGTATCCCTGGGGCACTGGTACCCATCCTCTCTGTACCAACATCCACAGAGGCTGCAGGTCCCTTATGCAGAATGGTGTAGCACCCTGGAACCTCCCATTGTCTCTGAACGGCTGTTAACACCTGGCAGGATGTGCTGCTAGGGAGACGGTGGCTGGGCTGTGCTGTTCACACTCCCACTCCCCGGCCTGTACCTTACACAAGCTGAGGGCCTCCTCACTTGCTGGGAACCGGAAGTGTTTCAATTCCAATTTCTTCTTTCAGATTTTGGGGATATTTGCATATGGCTAATGAGGCACCTTGGAGAAGGGACTACAATCTAAATATAAAATTCACATGTTTCATATATGGCTTACACACATAGCCTGCAGGTAGTTTACTTTTTTCTGAAGGTCACTTTATACAGTGTTGTTTATGGTTGTGTTTTCTATGTTTATGTACATGGAGCAAAGGTTAAATGGCACAGAGCTCCAAAGTTTAGGATCTTGGAGCATTTTGGATTTTTACTATATGACAGAGTCTACCAAAAAATGTATATATCAGGAAAGGAAAAATTGTATAAATATTTTAATTCTAAATTGATGGAGACATCGTGATATTAATACAAGTTACCTTAGGCCTCTACAATTACAAGAGGTGCGCAAAGTGGTGGCCATGAGCTTCCAGTCATTTTGGCAGACTCTGTGTATCCAGATTTTCATATATATGGCATGAGGTATGATTTAAAAATATGGTGAATATGTAATTTTTTTTTTTTGGTACTGGGGATCAAACTCGGGCTCTTGAGCTTGCGAGGCAGGTGGCGGAACCCCTGAGCTAAATCCCTGGCCCTAAACTTTAAAAAATATATTTCATTAGAAGACACATTGCCATGAATCCCCCTCACAATGCTGCCCTTGATTTGCACACACTCACCCCATCACCCTGGCCACTTTCTGAAGCAGTTCTGGAAGGCCTCTTTCGTGCATGTTGTTATTTGCTTGATCATGGCTGCCTCTAGGTCCTGAATGAATTAAAAATGTTTTTCTTTCATGGTCATTTTGACTTTGGGGAAGAGCTTGAAATTTCCTGGTGACAGATCTACGGAGTAAGGTGGAGAAGGAAACTGTCACTTGACAGAAATTGTCATAAACATTTATGTGTGTGTGGTTGTGTGTCTGTGTAGAGAAACACTGGATATATACATGTACAATATTACTTTATGAATCTCCCCCCTCTTTTTTTTTTTTGGTGCCTGGGATCGAACTCGGGTCCTTGAGCTCTCAAGGAAGAGAGCAGAACCACTGAGCTAAATCCCCAGCCCATTCTATGTATCTGTGTGTGTGTGTGTGTGTGTGTGCGCATATACATATATAAATGCAAGATAAACACAGGGCTGCAGGTGTAGCTCAGTCATAGAGCATTTCCCTGGCATGCATGAGGCCCTGGGTTTAACCCCCCAGTATACAAACAGACACACACATGGGCGATGGCCTCCCCCTACTTTGAGAGGCAGCTGAAAACAGGCACGGGAACAAGGAAGCACTGGTTTCTCCTTTTGAAAGCACGCACTTGCTCATTGACTCAGCCTCTCTTCTGGTCCCAGAAGTGGGCAGGTCAGGAACTGTGATTGATCTCATCACACGGTGAGAGGACCGGGCCCAGTGGGGCGAGGAGCCTCCCGCTCTCCACGAAGGGTCACGGCAGAGCTGGGAGTCAAGCCTGGGTCTCCAGACATCTCACACATACGCATGACTCTCTCTCTCCCACATACATACTTTTTCTTAATGGTATTTCCCCCCAACCCGGGATCTTTAATTTAAGTGGGTCTGTGCTACAGTCTTTGTTCTGCATCTTAAGTTTTTTTCACTGCACATCAGTTAAGCTCCCCATATGTACAATGAGTAGTTGCCTCTCTCTCTCTCTCTCTCTCTCTCTCT